GTCGCGGAGAACCTAACGGGTAACCGGGGCTCCGGCTCGACGTGCAGGAGAAGGAACGGGGTGGTTTTTAGTCAGTAAGAGTCTGACACTCCCTCCCGCCTCACCCAGGCGGGAGCAGTCATTCGATGATTTTCCCCCCTTAAAAAAAAAAAAAATACCTTCCATGCACACTGCAACATCACACTTACCGGCTCATATTTATTTAGGTACATTTCATAAATAAAAAGATATGAAAATCAATTACCTACTACTCAACTATCCAAATTGCTTCTCATTCTATGTTACAAACAAATTATTAAAAAATAATGATGTTGCAATCTCGATTCGGCGCAAAAAGTGCTGCGTCACAATCTTTGCATCTTTTATTGTTATTTTTCGCTCGTAATTATTTTAAAAGGGTGGAGATTTCTTTTGCCTGTTTCCCTGTCCAATTGTTAATGGTTAAAAATCCTATTTTAAAAATTTTCAGCCCTTTCTTTTCTGCATACATTGTTAGCTGTTGAATAAGGTGTTTTAGGGTAAGTAATCTGCTGTCATGCTAAATATTGGTCTTGTAAATGTTTTTGAAGCCACCCCCGCATACCTAATTGTTTAGACACGATTTTTCATACTTAACAAATGATTTAACGATGAGTGAACACCGTGACTCGTGCGTAAGCAAATTTGAAATTAATATGTAAGTACCTAGAACAACTCTATTGTTGATTGTTCTATTCGCTTTGCAATAGGTGCCTAGGTACGTAGGTATTAATGTAATAAACAGGAGCAAATTATAGTATATAGAGAACCTATGTGCTAACATTTTACGAAGATTTAAAACGAAACTAAGCACTATTAAAAAAGTAGTTCATCAAACAATGATCGAACTTGCCTAAATTTCACTATCATTATAGTCAATAAACCATAATTTACACATTATTATAGATGTAGATATCAACACGTTCCACGACGGTGTATCCTTAATGATTTGTTGAACACAGTTGCGACATTGTGATTGACACACCCCGCCAAGCTTCACATGCTGAAATAATGATGTGCAAACAAAATCAATTGTACGTGAATTTGTTTGTTATTAGAGCGTTTCCTTTGATCTATTTGTGAAGGTATTGTATAGTCAACAAGAGCCTTTATGTAAATTTATTACAAACACATCATTATACACAAATAACCTACCTATATTAATATCAAAATGATTACATCAACGCCTGCTCATAATGTTACATCTCTTTACAAATTCAACAATTTGCTTACAAAATTCTATCAGGCGTACAAAAAACGTTATTGAAAAAGCTTTTGTTCAGAGTGCCGAGAAATTACTGGACTGCGAAATCATCATAATATAATGCTGAAGGTTTTCACGTAAATCTGTTGAAAATATTAAAGAACATTATGAAATTACACAGCTGCCAGTCTCCATCCGCAATTATCGCGCTAAAAATGATTGCACCACGCTCTTCATCAAAAGAGCGACGCTTTTAATTCCGTCCTGGGATACCTACATCACACTGAGAGACAAAACCTTCGGATCAACAGCAGATGTTTGAATAACTACTTCAACACTTTGGAATTAAAGTCGATTATTGTGTAACTTTTGATAGATGTGTTTTGTGACATTTTCGAAGTAAACCACGTAGTGTCAACATTGAGGTGATTTTAAAAAGATACGCGTTCCACCTGTAGTCTTTTCATGATTTTTTAAAGGTGGTAGGTACTCGTTTGCGTTGAGCGTCGGGTTTGAACGAGCCACGATTTGAATGTTCACAGGTTACTGGGTCAAGTGATGTCTATTGAGGATGAGGACTCGACTGTAGGAGCCCTAGTTTCTTAAAGACATCTCCTAAGGAAACTAGCTTTCTAGTCTTAGGAGGTGACCTCAAACGTGGTTCTTTTACCTTTAGTGCGGAAAAAATTAGTCATCGTATCCCTCGACTTTTTTAACCCCGCTATCTGTATATGTTTCAAAACATTGTTTTACCTTTATTGCTAATAAAATATTGTACTTGGAGTAGATGTGTAGAATATCTAGACCTATAAATGCTGTATAACACCACCTACGTAATTTGCCCACATTTACGCTTCTACACCAATTTTGTCTTGTGAATCTCAAGGGGAATTAGAGAGGCAAGTTGCGCTGAAATACCAGTTTGAATAGAATCATTCGAATGTCATTCCACCTGATCAAAATAAGTTGAATAGCTACCTATTTCTTTCAGTTACATAATAATAATGATCAACATTGAATTCCTATATCAAAGTCCCATGTATTAATGTACAATATGGTCCGAAGTTGCCCTCAGGGAAACATATTTTAGATATTAATATTGGCAATGTCGTCGACCCACCAGAAACTTGGCACTTTCAATAAATATATTACTTTTATGTTGAAATATATACTCGGTATTCCCTGTTCTATTATACTTTTATAAGCTTCAGAATCTTTTGTAGCATTTCTATTCAGAAGAGGTTTGTTGGTCGGGGTTTACCTCCTTACTAACCTCTATTGGTTACTAATAAAATGATCGTATGTACAGCTACGTAATATTAGGGAACGTCGAGTGTCTAAAGCTTTTGATAAAGTTACCTGGTTGCGTATAGCCCGTATAGGCACAAAATCCGGTTATTATACGGGTACCAGAAAGTGATAGAAAGATGATTTTAGATTTGAGCCTACAAGTACAAATTGAATGAGGGCTTGCAAAAAAGTGTTCAAACATTTCAAAAGTTAATAACTATCAAACTATGTACCCATTTCTCCTTATGAAAGCGGAAACTATCTATCTTGCTTATGTATATTTACGTTCATAGTTCGAAAGATATAAAGCAAACTCAATTTAACGCACAGATGAAATAGGAAAATATAAATCAAAGGGGAAGGAGAGCGCGGATTCTAGTTTTCGATTAAAGGAATAACTTTTGGCAAGCCACCGCATATCCTGGGGTGAACCTTTGACAGGGAGACATTTATTGGATTACTAAAATACTCTCGTTCCTTGAACATTTCTTGCCTGTATTACTTCTTACAGTACTAGGGATAAGGCCCGTCGTAGATCTTGATCTGGTTTTCTATTTGTTCTATTGTTCGTGATTTACATTGTGCTCGGTAGGTGTTCGTGCATTTTGGAAGGAAATTGTAGTTATTTTTTTCTTTATTTTGTCGATGAATGATGGCACGCCTTTTATCCCCGAAGGGTTAGTCAGAGGTGCACATTATGCCACTGTACAATGTAACACCCACTTTTCACTATTTATGTTATGAGTCCCATGTAATAGGGGGTGAGCCTATTGCCATATACCGGGCACACATCCAGACTCCGTGCTTCTACTGAGAATTTTTTTAAAACCACTCAGTAGTTATCTTTACTACCATGTAAATACGAAATAGCTCAAGTAAGATACTAACTAAATACTTAAAAGTAGATCACTTTTACAACTTTAAAGTGGTGAACCAGTTCTGTTGCTGTCTGTGGCCTATATTTGAATATGAAGACGGTCATTTAAAGTTGTATGAAAGTGTCGAGATTGAAGGAAGTTCATCGTGGCGCAGTTGGACAGTTTGGACTTGGTGCTCAATTAGGACACTACGCCTAGCTATGGATGGTCTTTTGGTCTTGAGTAGAATAGTTCAGTTTGAGGAATAAAATATGGTTTGTATTTTATTTGAAAGACACTTATTTTGTTGATTCTCTTTCTCTCTTTTTCTCTTTTTTTTAAAACGTTGCCCCACACTAGGATTATCTCCTGTGTCGTGGGTGCGTTTACAAACATACAAGTCACATACACATGACACCCAGACCCGAAACAACAATTTGTGGATCGCACAAAGTGTTGTTCCGTGCGGGAATCGAACCCGCGACACGTTGCACGGCAGCCGGTTGCCCAGCCACCGCACCAACCGTGCAGTCAGTTGAAACAATTTATTTTAAACCTAGGAAACTAGCCAATTATGGCGTACCGAAATTTTAATGCTATATTTGGCTGGTCCCGTCTACCCACAAAGTGAACAGACGACCTTATAAACTTCGGATGCAGTTGCTTCCTACCGGTCTATCTGGAACTCATTGGAGGAGAACATAGGTCATGTTGTCACTGATATAACGATGAAAATGATTAACCTTTTCTTCTTCCAGCTCCGTTACTACTCAAACTGCAAACGCTTCAAGGCCCTAATGGCGGAAGCCCAAGCTAACTCAATGTCTGAAGAGTTCCTCCCCTTTATGGACCTCATCCCTCTTATCAAGAACAAGACTGGAGAGGACTTTACCGGCAGGCCTATTTGGTTTGAGACACTCTACGATCTGTTTAGGAGTACTGTGAGTACCTATTAATTTTAATTTGTTTTAAAAACTACATACCTACTAGAAATTAACTAAAAATCGCGGGTTATTCACGTAAATATACTGGGAAAAGCTCTACTAGTTTCGAACCACAGTCACACAGAGCAGTTGCGACGATGTCGTGTAGCCTACTGGTTAGCGTTACGTTTACGTGAGTTACCCGCGATTTTTAGTTGATGTAGTATGTCTCACGATAGTTGTTAACACATATATACATAGGCACTTTTTTTAAAGGGGGGAAAATCATCGAATGACTGCTCCCGCCTGGGTGAGGCGGGAGGGAGTGTCAGACTCTTACTGACTAAAAACCACCCCGTTCCTTCTCCTGCACGTCGAGCCGGAGCCCCGGTTACCCGTTAGGTTCTCCGCGACTCCGAATATACATAGGTACTAGGAAGTTGACGTTAACAACATTTAAAAAGAAACTCAGAACTTACAAGGACTTTAGAGCACAAGGACTGACTTAGCGATATTCAGTAATATAGATAATTTTATACGCTCATAGTTTTTGAGTTACGTAGGCGGCGCCTCTAGCGTTTTAGCTCAACCTAATCTTATGTAACGTGACTTAGTCAAAATGTCAAGTACATTTTCAAAGCAATAATTTTTGGCCACATGTACAAATATTAAATGCACAAATACAGCATGGGTTGTATAGAAGTCATTGAATCCTCATATTTACTCAGCTGCACAAACAATGAACCGTGTTGCTAACAACGTAGATGCCAAATTCCATTGTCTTACAAAAATTGATACGGACCTTCTTGCAGATTGGCTTGGGTCTTCATCTCCCTGACTGGGCGAAGCCTATCCTGGGCAGGTTGGGTGAAGCTGGCAGGCTTGCCTACAGGCTGTATTTCAGAACAGATGAGATGAAGAAGATTGGCGGTGGTGAGTGGATTGGCTCAATTATGTCTCTAATTTTTGTCCTTATTACAGCTGCATTTTAATTTTGAAAAATTACGCAAATACATATGTATATGGCTTGTGTAATTTCACGTACCGACGTGCGAGACGAGACTTCGTGATTTTTAGTCTTACCCAAGCGAGGGGTCTCCTTCTACATCACAGATATATATATATATTTTTCAAATAATAAAAGATATATATTTTTTTAATATTTCTGCGTTCTACATGGTATTTTTCACTTATGGATAAAAATACATTTTGCTAGTATGTTATGAAAAATCAATTAGATTGTTTCCTTGTCAGAAACATACTTACATTCCCAAGACTCTAATCTAACTGTCTGTAATCTGTGCTATTTCCAGATCCTGTCAATAATATTAGCTTGAAAGGGTAACAGGTCACAACTACCCATATATCACCAGAAACTTTTCCATTTATAATAATTACAACATAACGTCACGCCTTATACTCCCGAAGGGGTAGGCTGTACAATGTAACACCCACTTTTCACTATTTATGTTATGAGTCCCATGTAATAAGGGGTGAGCCTATTTCCATATACCGGGCACAATTCCAGACTCCGTGCTACTGAGATTTTTAAAAAAAACTTTTGCCCATTCTATGGAATCGTACCCTCGACCCCTTGCCTGGCAGTCATAATAATTAATAGCTAGAGTGTATTGTGAATCATTGCTTAATCGTCTCTTTTCTTTCTCCAGGTGTCTTACTAGACAAATTTGTCAAAGCTGGAAACGACTTCATAGCTGGAAAGCGAGTATCCCAGAGGTTACGCCTTTTCTCTGCCCACGACTTCAACATTGGAGCTTTGATGGAAGTCGCCAAGGTTGAGAATGACCATAGCATACCTGAATATGGAGCTGTGTTCGCCTTGGAGCTGTACAGGTCTAGGAGTACTGGAGCTTATAGCGTACTGGTGAGATATATATAATGAATTTCATACTTTATTTGTATTAAACGTACACTGTTATGCTCGGGCCATATTAACGTTAACGTCAATGACGAATATCACGATGTTTACTACGATAATTTTAACCCGATAAAGTGGGTGGCTACGCTTGAAATTTCAACGTGAAAGCCGATGGCAAACCATGGCATTGTGAATGCCGTTGTCAAATTATCGCGTTGACTCGTGGCTACACCTACGGTGAACGTGCATTATCGCGATAAGCGATGGCAATTCTCGTTGGTGTGGCCCAGGCATTAGACTATGAGATGTTCATAAGAGGGTATATCAAAATATGCCCGTTTCAGTTGTCGGTTAGAGACCAAACTAACATACGGTTGGCGCGGTGGCCGGGCATACGTACCTATACCCCATTGCTTATTATTAACTACAAATCCTTATGTTTTTATAATAACTATCGTGAGATATACTAAATTAACTAAAATCGCGAGTTACTCATGTGAATATACTGAGAAAAACTCTACTAGTTTCACCACAGAGGTTTCCCGACGTCGCCGCGACCGCGCATGCTGATCATGAGGAAGAACCCCTCTGTGTCTGTGGTTCGAAACTGGTAGAGCTTTTCTCAGTATATTCACGTGGGTAACCCGCGATTTTAGTTAACTTACAAATCCTTATCTTTCTCTTTCTTCCTTTCCAGCCAATGTACCTTCCGAAAGCAGGTGAGAGCTCTGCCCAGTACCTCAAGATCAAAGGTTGTGGAAATTCTGGTCATTGCAGCTTCAACACTTTTAAAGAACTCACTAAAGAGTTCCTGCTGCCTGAAAAGGAATTCTACTCGATTTGTAAAATCAAAACTGAATTATAGGTCTAAGTAATAAGATCGAAGTATTATAATAATTAATTTATATACGTAAATTTAAATATTAATAATGATAGATGAACAAAAAAATAAAGAAAATTGTCTATTTTGTCATGTTACGAGTTCAATTTTGTCGGTGGAGTTTCAAATATCAAGGTTTTAGTTCGATTTGTTAAGCTAAGTATTATTAATAAGTATTGTTTAATACAATACTGTCTGCCGTATCTTACTTCAATTTTTTTAAGACGCAATGATTGTTGATACAACATCTTAAGATGAAGGCACTCTACCGGCATAACTTCAAACTTCTAAGTAACTTTGCATGCTACAAGTAAATCATTTTGTTACCAAGAGATGGCGCTGTTTTAAAGTATTGTACCTTGAGACAAAGTTTTTGTGAAAGCGCCACCGTATGATAGCGTGAAGTTAAAAGTTTAAAACCAATTGTCTGTGATATTAACAAATTTACTCGAAAAGTTTGTACAAATAAACAGTTTTAGTATAAGTATTTTATTGTGTTTTATTTTATGTATCCAATAATCCAAATAAATTCGGTAGGTATGTTTGCAGTAAACCTACTTACTAAAATCGTATTGATCTTGATAAGACGTAACTGCACATACCTAATAATTTAAGATTGCTTATTTAATTAATTATTGAAAAATCGAAGCTGATAGGAAAAGGGTTATGGAGTTTCTTGGTCGTTCTTCACCATAGGAATCTACACCTTGGAATGGAGTTAATAGCATCACTTTTCATTTTTTGTTGACGTTCAAAAGTGCCTTCCTGGTCTAATTGAAATAAATGATTTTGACTTATACTTTGACTTTTAAGTGTATAGTATAGCAGTCTATTCGAACCTTTGTAATCTAGGCTCATATAACTAAAACAAAATAGTATTTCAGCATCATAGCTCAAAAGAACAATTAGAACAAAACAATCTACCCAGCTCCTTTTCAGTACAGAATCCAGTTTCAGTTAGACACAGCTGAAAAATATTTTCGCACTACAACTTAATCCTCTCGAGTAAGCAGCTTAAAAGCACCTTCTCAGCTTCACAAAGCTCTGAGAAATTTTAATTTTCAGGCATTAAAAAGCTCTCTGTTAAGCCTTGAAAGCTTTTGTTTACAGATTCACTTTGCTTGTCTGTGAAACTGCAATATTTATACCTGCGTTGGTGTCGCGGAGAACCTAACGGGTAACCGAGGCTCCGGCTCGACGTGCAGGAGTAGGAACGGGGTGGTTTTTAGTCAGTGAGAGTCTGACACTCCCCCCCGCCTTACCCAGACGGGAGCAGGTATTCGATGATTTTCCCCCTTAAAAAAAAATACCTGCGTTGGTAGGTATTGTTTTAGTCAAATGAAGCTATGATATCATATGACTGTGACTGAAAACTTAACAGACCTGCCGTTCACCCTTGCAAATGTATTGTACTACTTATCGTGATTTAAATTATTAGAGCGAATTGGTGTGTAGATAACATAATTGGTTTTTGAGGTCGTAACTTGGAATCCTAGCATTAGACCCGAGCGTACGTACGTACCTCAAAGAGCCATCAGAACACCACAGATGGGGCCCAATAGGGCTGTAGGCGATATGGAGCCGTGGATGACTTAACGGGTTGCCGGGGCTCCGGTTGGAAGTGCAGGATAAAGTAGTTTTTAGTCAGTAAGAGTCTGACACTCCCTCTGGTCTCACCCGGGCGGGAGAAGCCATTGCATGATTTGTCAATTTTAACTTTCGAAGAGCTCGATCGCATTCTCGCCCTTCATTGGATGAGATTATTCTCACAAACAATAACCGCAATCGAGTGCACTTCGTTCTCTCGAATTAAAAGTTGCAGAATAGCCTAGGCAGTATCCATCTGTAATTATACCTGGGATACTCCAATACACTCACCCCCTATTACATGGGACTCATAACTAGTGAAAAGTGGATACATATAGGTAGCTGCTAACAAATATGGCCGGCTGAGCACGAAACAACTCGTTGTGTGATCTACAAATTGTTGTTTCGGTGTCATGTATGTTTGTGTATGTGAGTACTTGCTTCGGCAGTACATATAATAGGCATAGCGACTATTTTTTAATTTTTTGTCCGTCTTTTAGATATTTTAAAAATCTTCGATACGTATTTTTTCTTTTTTCTCGTATCCAAAAAAACATGTAGATATTTTGAGTTAAAATGACGCGTGACGTCACACCTAGGTACGATTTCTCCGTAAGTGTGACGTCAACACCCCCCACTCCCTAACTTTAATGCGGAATAACTACGTATTCTTCTGTTAATTTGATAAAACAAAAAATACGTGTCTGATATTTTCGTGCGATCTTAATGACGGACTAATTACTTTTTTGATTTTTTTACCCTGTCGACACGCCTATCGGAACGATACAGAGAAGATTAGCATGCCCCCTGCGTAAGGATGGCACGAAGTATCGTGAAGCGTTCCAATCTTTGGAAGGAACTAACATCTAAGGTACAGGCGCGGCCTAGTTTAGATGTTAGTATTCATAAACTGTGTGTCAAATGTTTTTGTTACAATATACACTTTTCATTTTATTTTATGTATAATTATGTTTGTAAACGCACCCACGACACAGGAGAAAACCATAGTGTGGGACCACGTTTAAAAAAAATACTAGCTTCTTCCAGCGGCTTCGCCCGCATTCTTAAGGATTAAAAAGTAGCCTATGTGTTATTCCAGACCATAATCTACCCCTGTTCCAAATTCCATCTCGATCCCTTCAGCCGTTTTCACGTGAAAGAGGAACAAACACATACATTTCGCATATATAATTATTAGTAGGAAGGAGGAAGAAGTATTCATAATATATTAATTAATCAAAACGATTGTATAATAAATATTATTATTAATATCTTTTAAAAGTACAGGGAAAAGAGGAAAAGAGATCTTTTCAAAAGGACACGTGGAATGAGACAGATTTTTGAATATAATAAACCTTATTTGATGTTTAAATTACGTTCATATCTATTAAATAACAAAGCGGTGACGAGGGTAGCCATTTCATATTTTGTTACGAACCCACGGATGGAATGCTTTGAAATTAGGACTGCGACCGTCTCATTTGTATGACTGACTTATCCATCTTGTGTACAAGTTGTACAACTGCCGATTAACGGGTGTTGGGTTCGAAACCATGTTCAAAGTATTCTTTTAAACATTCTAATACGGATGAACAGACTGTTTCCACTAACAAATTTAGTTGTTACTCTAATAATAACAGTCACTGATTTATTTCATTTTCCGTTTAGTTTTAACTAATTTTCCTAGGTAATCTAGGAAAAACCATGTTATATATTAATAAGCCTTCCATTTCGCTACTAATGAACCACGTATACCAAAGAATCTTGTGATTGATCCTTAGCTTTTTAAGGAAGAGGACACATTATACGTATTCCATTTTTTCCAAATTCAATTCCAGTGAGTTTTAAATTTTCCCAGACTCCCAGTTAGGTAGCTAGGTAAGCGAGTTCATTGACAAGCTTAGAGTGTTTACCAAGTGTAAGCTGATGTCATGCACGATGCCTTCTGTGCCCTTATTTATATAAATATATATTTAATGCTTATATATGTATATATTAAATACTCGTAAGTTCACAAGTCATCGAACATAACAATTATTAACCATTTACTCGGGTTTATTTGATGATGGGATGGAGTTTTTGGGTTTTGTATAATCTGTATTCCCGGGGTGAATATAATTAAATTACGCTTTAACACATAGAAGGGACTCATTCAATGGAATATTATTGTAAAACTAAGTTAGTTTCGAAATTACACGCAGATTCCCAATGCATCATGGCTTCAGAGAATAAAATACATCTTCATGATGGGTTTTATTCCCAGCACAAGCATGTGTTAATATTAAAATTAGATGATTAATTAGATGAAATAATTAGATGATTTAGGTAATATTAATTTGTAATAGTAAACAAAACAAAAAGGTAAGAAAATAGTTTTAATATTTTATTTAAAACTCCATTTCAATCAATAATTTCTATCATAATTTTATTTCGTAACAATAGTAGGTAATTAAATGATTAGAATCAACCAATATTTATTTTAGATTAAAACTGTAGATATTATCGCTCTAACATTATAATTAATATGAATAAACATAATATGTATTCTAACACATGCATTATAAATGTAAATCGCTCCCGCTCCGCTTAATCTAATAAAACCACACCGTTACACCGTCCCAAGGGCCAAATTCGCCCGTAATTTACGTAACGCGGTACGGGAAATGTAAATTTTTCGCATAATTTATGCTTTTGTCTTAGTTAATGTTTAGAAAAATAACGTCATATTTAAGTAGGTACCTTAATTACCTTGTTATATGTTCGCTCTTTGTGGACTTGTTTCCTTTTTGGATTTTCTCAGAAATAATAATTTTTCTTTCATTTTGTAGTAGGTTTTAAAGGAATAATCTGACTGTCTGGTCGATTTAGGCTGGTTTAGAGGTGTTGTGTACGGTGTAGTAGGATTTAAAATATATTAATCTGCTAAGAAAAGGACTTATACAAGTTATTTCCTTGAGTTAATTCACGAATATGTAGATATTCCTTTTTGAGAGTTATTAATTTATTTATTTATTCATAAACAATTTATATTTATTCATTTAAAAATTACATTTGTGTCGAATATGGTTTTGATAATTGAAACAAAATTAAAAAATAATCACATAAAAATCAATAAAGTCAAATAAAAACAATTCAAAGAAAATAGAACAATCAAATATAGAGGTACATAAATTAAACACTCCATTTAACTTACCTACTAGTAAAACAAATATGCGAGTAATTAAATTACATGTTAACAAATTATTGAAATGCAATGTATTATGATGGAATGTCAGATTGAAATAGGTACTCAGTAGCATAATCTCAATTTTAGTTTGAACTATGATTATTTTTCAGAAACTCCTCAATGCTGTAATAACATTTCCTCAAAAACAATGTCTTACATTTTTCATAAATTCAATTGGATTACTGGAGGTTTTAAATCGTACAGGCAGTTTATTGTATATATTTACTGACTAGCTTTTACCCGCGGCTTCGCTCGCATCACAAAAGGATAAAAAGTAGCCTATGTGACCTATACCAATACACACAACGCCATCTATACCAATACTTTTTTTCCCTCGGGAATATCAAATCTTTCCGGGATAAAAAGTGCCCTACCTCTATTATTTAATCTGGACTTCTAACTTTACGTCTGCAAAAATTCAAAGCAATCGGTTTAGTAGTTACGTCGTGAAAGCGAAAGCGGAACAAACAAACAAACAAACTCACTTTCCGATTTATAATATTAATATATAAGTAAGCATTGCACTCTTGAAGCATGTTTATCGACATTAAGTTTAGGCTGTATGGAATTCGATAGGTCCTTTCTTCGAGTATTTACTCGAAGAATATCTCTGTTCCTCAGTTTAGAACTTATGGATATGAAATGTCTAGGCAACACCAAGATATAAAGGATGG